AATACAAGTAATAAAGTTCAATGTGCAGTTTTGAACTTTTGCGCTTTTATGTTACAACCAATCATGAATGCGTTCCACAAATAACGCGACTATACCTCCCTTCACTGCGGAGATGGCTTCACATGCCTCGTCTAAAGTACGGGTTTATGTTCCATCCCTGTATTTCCATATGCATGATTCTTATACGTCTATGCGAATATCCTTTCCGTTTTCCGTCACAAAATACCGCGGGTAATGGTCCGTCCTTCAGGTCCATGAATCACACCCAGCGTTGAAATTCGGGCTGGGTTTTCTCGCGTATGCACTCTCCCTACAAACACCACAATTTATGATCAAATTTCGTAACAAGTAGACACTAATTTAGTTAAAAATAACGCTTATCATTTAATAACAATCATTCCAAAATAAATACAGCATCGGTTTTTTTAGCCCTTGTAGCCTGACTAGCTCAGTCGGTAGAGCATGAGACTCTTAATCTCAGGGTCGTGGGTTCGAGCCCCACGTTGGGCGATTATTTTTGCTCCTTAACCATTGATTTTGTTTAAAGATTGAGGCTCTTCACAAGGTTGACTGCCACGTCACCCATATTCGGGTGACAGTTTTGATTCGGACCTGTTGACAATTATTCACATTATTAAAAACGGTAATTTTAATAAAAACGATTGCACAATTAAAGATGTTAATTCGAATAACCATACTATATGCTGCAATAATGTTGAGGTGTATGAGAAAACCAAGGGTGGGCTGCAAGAAGTTGGAGCGCAATAATATTCGTTTACGCCAAACTTCAGTAAGCCTAAGTCTATCCTGCTAAAAGGTGTAAAGGGCAGTTTTTCAGTTGATGAAATAAAGAAAGAACTGGAGGATCTGACGTTCTCAAAAGTGAGAATTTTAAGTGTTTCCAAATTTATTTTTCGAAGGAACCCGGAAGCTTATCACCACATAATGCAGTGTGATTGTGACAGCAATCTAAGTGAGGTGTTTAAAATAAAAGCTGTGGCGTTTCAAAAAATAAAATGGTAACGGCTACGTAAAAAAGACATTTACCAGTGTATAAGATTTCAGAGGGTAGGTCACGCGAGTAAAAACTGCAGCTTAAATTATAGGTGTGTGAAATGTGCCCTATCTCACGATCCTGGTGCATGCCCTATAAACAAAGCAGCAGAAAAGTTAACTCCCCGATCCTGTTCAATATATTCATAGGCGACCTTTTAAACCTTTTTGATTTGAACCAGCCGGGTAGTCCTACGAAGGCTCTGGGATTTGCGGACGACTTTATCGTATATACCTCCCATGGTAGAGCGCTAACAGTCCGGGACAGGCTCGAGGAGATAGTCAACAGAATTAATAGCTATTATATCGCTTGGAATCTGAAACTAAATCCACATAAATGCGAGACCATACTTTTCAAAAAACCGACGTATTTCATATCCTCCGATGCCAAAAAGGGAGCGAGCAATTTCAGAATTGAAATTATCAATCAGGATGCAGCAACCAGGGTTTCTATACCTCATAAAAAGCAGGTTAAATATCTGGGTTACCATATTGATTACCTAGCCAGAGGCAATCTACATGCAGACACATCACTAGCTAAAGCCCGTTCTGCATTCATGGCAAACGGCAGAATATTTCGTAACCGCTCGCTGGCCCCAAGGACCAAAATTGTTTTATACATGCTCCTAATTCGGCCGATCTTAACATACGCTGCGCCTGTGTGGTGGAATTTAAACCACACTACGACGGAAAAACTCCGAGAATTTGAGCGGAAGTGCCTTAGAGCCTGTCTCGGAATGTATCGTTCAGCCCAGTCTGAGTGGCGACTTTTTGTGAGCAACAATAAATTGTACGATGCGGCGCAAATACCCCGTATCGACAACTTTATTATTAAACTTACCAGAGACTATTTTAGCAAGATTCCTAATAGCAGGAATCCTCGAATCATTAACTTAAAAATATGTAATAACGTCTTGGTCAAAGAGGGGGTTGTCCTTATCTAAAACTGGCAGCATCGCAAAAAAAAGTAGTAACCGCAAATAAAACGTCACGGGTGGTGAAGAAGATTGACACGCTTGCTTCCTTGGTATATGAAAACTGGTCCTTTGCGCAAGTGGCAAAGGTAGACAGCCAGCGTGGGAGGAGACTACCCTCGGAGATCAGCTGGAAGGAGAGAGACCCCCGCACACGCAACGTACGCAGCGGTACGTGAAAAACAACGACACTACTCCGAACAATTCATTGCAACCTGATTGACTTAACAATCATAGAATTGACATTGCAAATATAATTAGTAATCAGTTGCAGTCCATAGCCGCGCAGGTAGCGAGAAACACCAATGACACTAGTCGAATACTTAATGCGCTAAGAATAGTTAATGAGTAATGCAAATCGTAATATTAATACGCTTAGTCTGGCAGCAATGAATGCTAATTGAAATCATCAAAACTAGAAATTGCACGAGAAATGATTGCACAGTTAAGGAAATTAACTCGGAAAATCACACAATTTTTTGTAATAACGAGGAATCATATGAAAAAATTAAGGACGCGCTGAAGCAAGCGGGGACGCAATTCTATTCGTACGCGCCCAAAGCTGTCAAGCCAAAATCCCTGTTATTAAAGGGAGTTAAGGGTAGCTTCTCCGCGGGGGGGCATTAAAAACGAGCTCGAAGAACTCACGTCTACTTCTGTTAAAATCTTTCTAAATTTGTGTTCAGAAAAGATCCAGAGGCTTATCACCATATCGTCTAATGCGACGATGCCAGCGAACTGTTCAAAATCAAAGCGATCGCATTTCAAAAAATTAAATGGGAGCGTATCCGCAAAAAAAGACATATACCAATGTCGCAGATGTCACAGAGTGGGACATGCCAGCAAAAACTGCTGCATGACCTTCAGATGCGTCAAATGCGCCTTCTCCCACGAACCAGGATCATGCCTACTTGCTAATTCAACAGATAAGGGCAATCTGAAATGTGCAAACTGCGGCCAAAATGAACACCGAGCGAGCTATCGAGGATGCCCATATTTTAAGTTAGCGGCCTCGCAGAAGAAGAAGGCAGCCAACGCGAAAGTATATAAAGTATCGACGAAAATAGACATGGTGCGAGAAAACTGCTCCTTCGCACAGGCCGCGAAGGCCGATATCCGTAGAGGATACAGACCAGGCCAGGAATATCCCAGCAGCGCGGGACCTTCTACGACCTATCCTTCTCGGGCTACGAGGGAGGTGAACAACAACGACGCGCCGAGGGATGAGGCGTTCCACCCCGATTGGATCGAAAAGCTAAAGGCCGATGTGGCCAACATAATAGGCAAACAGATGCAGGCAATTGCGGCACAGGTAGCAAACAATACCGTAAACATCAATCGAATTCTGAACGCTCTCGGTTTAGACAATTATGAGTAATAACGACCGATCGATTAATTCACTTAGTCTAGCCGCGATCAACGTCAATTCTATCTGCGCTAATAGTCGGCGACATGATTTATTGGAATTTTCACTTAAATATAAACATGACATCATCTTTATTTCGGAAACGAAACTAACTGATAGGCATAGAATTAGCTTTGTTGAATATACGCTACTCAGAACAGATAGACCTAATGCCACATGCGGCGGTGGCACAGCGATTCTCATTCACAGAAGTTTAAAGCCGATCCTTGTTACGTCTCCCAACTCGTCTAGTAATGAAATTTTAGAATTTACGATTGTCAAACTAGTTACGACGAACAATCGCAATCTTTATTTAATAAGCGCTTACGCCGCTTTTGATAATAGAAAGGTATTTATCAACGAGCTAAACGGCCTATTCTCGAGCTTAAACCTAAATAATGTGTCTAATTATTACCTGATGGCGGGGGACCTCAATGCGCGGAGGACTGCTTGGGGCGACCATGCAGGGAACCAGCGGGGCAGATACATGAGACAATGGGAGGAAAAATATGGTATCAAATTCAAGGCTAGGATACTTACGCCCGAAATGCCTACTTTTAAGCCCTCAGCTTCGTTCTTAGATATCTGCCTCGCTGACGCTAGGATGCATTTTCACAACCTGAGGGGCGAGAGGGTTCCTGTACTGCCTTATGACAGCGACCACAGAGCGATCTCCCTCGAATTCAGTATCCTTAATGATTCGATTACCTATTCTACAGTAGAGCCGGCGCAACACGAATATAACTATAAAGCGACTAACTGGGAGAAATTCGCAAATTGTGTATCGGCGGAATGCAGGGACGCGATCCCCGATAGCAGGAATCTTTCTGTACTGGAAATCAATGCGGGTCTTGAAGGTGTATCCCTGGCGATTCTAACGGCTATAAAGAAAACCACCCCAGTATTCAAGAGCCGAAACAGCGTAGAACCGTACATAAACAAAAAAATCAAAAGGTGGTCAAAAATCAAAAGTAAGCTCCTATCCATTATCCATCGAATGGAAGAGCTGAGACCGCACGCGCAACCCGGGCTATTAACGGAAGCCAACGAGCTGCAAGGATTAGTTAGAATAAGATTACGGGAAGAATTCTGTAAATCCATTGCGAGACACTGGAAAGCAACCTTGAATGGGATTTCGCACAAACAGCCCGCTTCTTTTTTTCCAAAAATAAACGCTTTACTTAGGCCCAGAAAATTAGCTATGATCAACAGATTAGTAATTAGCCAGCATGAGTCTGATGTTATTTCGAGAAGCGGGCTCAATGATGAGAACTCCTATTTGAAGGATGACTCGCGAATTGTTACCACTCAGACTGGCATCCTAAATACTATTGGAGCTTGCTTTGAAAAAATCAACACGCCTAGGAGCCTAAATCAAGGTTCCAGGCTCAAGGAAATAGTTGATTGCCGAGCTCTAGCGCTTCGGAAAGAACACGCTCGAAACAGGGCAAGGAACTGTGCCCTGGTTGCTTTCTCCGAATGCAACAGGGCCAGTGAACCGCTGCGTTTAGCTGGCGACTTCCAGCCTTTCGTGAGCCATTCCAAGCTGGATAAAATACTTAAGAACCTACCCAACAAGTCTTCTTCGGGAATTGATGGTATTCCGTCGATTACTTTAAAACATCTGCCTGGTGCGGTAGTCCTTAAATTAGTAATCTTATTCAACAACTCTATTAATCTGGCGTACTTCCCAACCATTTGGAAACGGGCCAAAGTTCTGCCTGTCTTAAAAAAAAATAAAGATCCGTGTTCGCCCGCCAGTTATAGGCCCATAAGCCTCACCCCTAACTTGAGTAAGGTTTATGAAGCAGTGATTAACGACCTCATCACGTCGTACTGTACTAAAAATAAGGTCATACCGGACCTGCAGTTCGGATTCAGGCGGGGGCACTCGACGGTGCATGCCATACATAAATTCCTGAGTGACGTGAACGACACCTTAAACTCAGGCAAAATGTTAGGGGCGGCGCTGCTCGACTTAGCAAATGCTTTTGATACTGTTTGGATAAATGGCCTACTGTATAAACTTGACAAAAAAATGTTTC